TAAGTAAAGAAGTTAGGAAAAGCAACTAAAAGATAGACATTGTCCTGGTCCTCACAGAGGTTTTAATCTAGCAAAGAAAACAAATATGGAACAAGTTATTAGCAGCAGTGAAGGGAACTGTCATAGACAAGTGGAGGTGCTAAGAGAATATATGACAGAGGAATTTATAGGGTAGAGAGGGAGCATTTGGAAAAAAGTTTTTTATTTTTTTGAGGCTATAGAGCAGGTCACATCCGTTTTGTACATAATACAGTCCCATCTGCAACTGATAACAAAAAAGTTACCAAAAAAAATCTATAGTTTTGGAAAATAAGAGATCCATTTCTAAATAACCCATGGACAAAGAATTCATTATGGAGGGGCCTCCCTGGTGGTTCATGGGATTAAGTCACAGTGCTATCAAACTATCCCCAGCCACTGCTGCACGAGTTAGATCCCTGGCCAGGGAATTGACCCACATGGCACAGCAGATCTCTCCTGTCTCACCCACTGCTCCCCTCAGCAGTGTATTTCAGTAGATCCTTCTCCTCTGCTCCCCACTCTGTCTCTAGTGAATCCTCTCACCAAGCCCCCAGCACCTCTGACCTGCACCCTAGTTCTTATATGCATAAATAAATAAATCTTAAAAATAATAATAAAGGTAATCATTTTTTTAAAAAAAGAATTCATTATGGAAATTTAAAACGTTTAAACAAAAATAACATATCAGAATTTGTGGTAGTAGCTAAATCAGTATATGAGGAACATTTATAGCCTTAAAATGAACATACAACATAGAAAAAAGATTGACTACAAATAAATATAATTTTATAATAACTCAAGAATACTTCATGACCTTGAAGTTGGGAGAGATTTTTAAATAAACCACAAAAAGGAAAAATTTATAAATAGGACTATATTTAAATTAAGGGTTTCTGTCATCAGTAAATAGTATTTTTTTTTAAAGATTTATTTATTTATTTATTTATTTAGACAAGCACTGGGTACAGTCAGAAGCGCGGGAGGATGAGAGAATTCACCAGAGCCAAAGCAGGGAGTAGAGCAGACAGAAGGACCGAAGTACACTGCTGAGGGGAGCAGCGGGCAGCAGGAGAGATCTGCGTGCCATGTGGCACCCTCACCCTGTGGCCAGGAAGCAGCCGGGGATCGAACCGGCGCTGCAGAGGCTGCGGGCAGCTTTGCAACCCAGTGCTCAACCGCTGTGCCACCTGGGAGGCCCAGTAAATAGTATTTTAAAAGTGAAAAGGCAAGTTACCAAGTAGGAGAAATATTTGTCACACAGATAACAAGGAGCTCATTATGAAACTATGTTCTATAGACCAATAAGGAATATACCACTCAACTGGAATGTGTACTGTAATTAGGCTAATAACAATAACCATAATTATAATGGTGGTGGTACTAAAAATTGAGTAGAGAGATGAGAATAGATTATTAGGCCATTAATAATGATAAAACATTTGTCTTTTTTTTAATAAGATAAACATGCATGGGTGGTTTGGTGGAGGGTAAATGAAATGTGCACATATGGGAAATTTATTTTAATAATAATAATATAAACATATATAAAATAACCATTCCACCAAAGCTTCAAAGGTATTTTAATAAACGTTTTGGTGACCTCCGAAAAACTGAATTCTCCATTCTTTAGAGAATGGTATTCTTTTTCCCAGCAAGGCTTCCTACTCTACTAAAAGAATATGATGACTAAAAAGTGATAAGGCAGGGCCTCCCCGGTGGCGCAGCGGGTTAAGCGCCGTGCTGTGAAGCTGTCCTCAGCCTCTGCAGCGCGGGTTCGATTCCTGGCCGGCCAAGGAGAAACCCACATGACGTGGCAGACCTCTCCTGCCGCGCTCACTGCTCCCCTCAGCAGTGTTTTTCATCAGTCTGCCTGTTCTGCTCCCTGCTCTGTCTCTGGTGAATCCTCTCACCCTCCCTCGCCTCTGACCTGTACCCCAGTTCTTGTATAAATAAAGAATAAAATCTTTAAAAAAAAGAAATTAAAAAAAAATTGATAAGGTAAGAACTGCTTTTTAAATCATCTGTTTGTTCCAGAAAGGTTTATCTGTAACTCTTCAAACAGGGTTGGCCATAGCTGGATTTCTGGCTGTCATGCATTGCTAATCAGAAATTTTAAGACAAAGTGGCAGCAATGAACAAACTTCACTTCCTCGGATCATCATCCCAGGCCCCACTCCTCCCACCCACATCCTGTGTGTAAGTAAATAGGAAAGAGTCCTGGTCTATCTAGCACCACTGTTAGTCTCTGGCAGAGTGGCTTGGCTGTTCTTGGCCACCACAAGGCGCTGAGTTCACAGTGCGGGGTGCAAGAGAAGTGGGGAAGGATCCAGCTACGTAAATGACCACCCAGGATCCTGATTTGTTACCAGTGAGTCAGCCAAGGCTTGGGCTAGACAAGATCTCAGGCCCCACAACCTCATTTTCTGGTTTTTTTTTTTTTTTTTTTATAGAGGCATGTTTATTTATTTGTTTGTTTGTTTGTTTGTTTTTTTATACATGCACTGGGTACAGTCAGAAGCGCCGGAGGGTGAGAGAATTCTCCAGAGCCAGAGCAGGAAGCAGAGCAGGCAGAAGGACCGAAGTACACTGCTGAGGGGCGCAGCGGGCGGCAGGAGAGGTCTGCACGCCATGTGGGACCCTCCTCGGTGGCCGGGGAGCAGCCGGGGATCGAACCGGCGCCGCAGAGGCTGCGGGCAGCTTTGCAACCCAGCACTCAACCGCTGCGCCACCTGGGAGGCCCCACAACCTCATTTTCTACTCCCAAAGCAAGAATAACAACACAAACAGGTATATGAGCTTCTTAAAATGAAATTTAACTCTCTCCACCATGATTCTTATTTGGTTTTCAAAGACAACTGCCATCAGGAATCATTTTTCATAAGTCCCTAAAGAATCACTCATTGTGTAAACACACACACACACACACACACACACACACACTAACAAGGTTACATTACTCAAGCACTTTTAAATTCGTTTGATCGTGATTAACTGGCCTCCAACAGGTAGGACTTGCTGGAGAGATTCAGTCTGATATTTTAGAAATATCAGGTAAATGTGAAGAGTTCTAGTTTGTGCCATAAAGAAAGAAAGAACTCTGTTAGATTGAAGCCATAAATATAAACATTAAATCAGTAATGACAGAGAGTTCCTATTTCTGTATGTAGGGTCAGCTTATCTGAATTGAAATGCCAGCTCCACCAATTTTAACTTCTAAATGTGCAACTCCTGGCAAGTGACTTCCTCCCAAAGCCTCTATTTTCTGCCCTTAGAGGGAGAAAAGTGAATAACAAAGCACTTACTTGATAGTATTGTTTGGGAATTAAACAAGAGAAACCGTATAAAAAATATCACACATTATAATAATAGCTGGCATCACGCCTGGCTCCAGCAACTGCTGGGAGTCACCTGACTTGTGAAAAGGCTGTCTTGAACCGCTAGGTCTTGGATGCCTGCAGGTGAACTAAAGAAGGTCTGGGACTTAATTTTCTCCAGAGGACTTTGGATTGAGGCAAGTGTCCCACTGCTCTCAAACAAGAGCGCTCCTGCCATCTTGTGCCCAAAGGCAGCAAATGCCTAAATCCCAATGCCAGGGCCCCTTTCCTTTTGTCCATTCATTCATCAGTCTCCTTTTCTATTTTAGGCTCCCAGACAATAGAACCACTTGGCTTCCTCAAAGCTTCATGCTCTGTCTCTGTGAGTCCTCTCACCGCCCCCCCACCCCACACCTCTGGCCTATACCCCGGCTCTTGTATGCATAAATAAATAAATCTTTAAAAAAAAAAAAAAGCTTTATGCTCTCTATACTCCATTTGTTCAAAGTAGCTCTCCGTGCCTGGCATTCTCTTCATCCTCTTGTCTGCCAGGCAAACAGCTGCTCCTGGTCTCCTCTAAGAAAGCTTCCCTAAGTAGACACCTAAATGGCTCACCTCATTCTCCCCAGCAAAACCAGCTCTTATAGCACATGTCTGCCCCCTTCTCCTTCACTGATGCTCCCCTGGGAGCCCCCACCCCTAACACAGAACCACATGACTAGCTGGCACCCAGTATATGTTCAATAAATAAATGTATATTGTAGTAAAGTAGGGGGCAGGAGCAAGGCCATTCCAGAAAGCGCTGTTCCAGCTCAGAAACGCTGGTATTGCTGGCATGTAAGTGCTTCTGTGTCTATTGAATCTATAGCCCCTGCACAGCCTCTGAGGTTAATAATTTTGACTAGAAACAAATGCATGAACCATCTATCAAGTTCACTTCTAGTACTTTATCCAAGAGAAATGGAAATCTGTGTCTATAAAAGACTTGCTCTGGAATGTTCATAATCCCCTCTTTGATGATAAAATCTAATAACTGGAAAAGACCCAAATGTCCATCAACAGGGGAATGAAAAGTGAATGTGGTATGTTCGTTCAATAGAATACTATTTGGCAGAAAAAAGAAACCGATGACACAGTTCAATCTCAAAAACTTAGGCTAAGAATTCAGACACCCACAAAAAACTACACACTGAAAAAGAACAAAGATATGAAAGTCTAGAAAGAGAAAATGGAAACGGGAAACGAAAGAAAGTTGTTGCCTGATGTGGGGGGGCGGGGGATAGGAGGCGAAGGGGCAAGGTTTGTTACAATTTGTCAGTCTGTACACCTAAAATCTGGGCATTTATCCATGTTAATTATATTTATTATTTCTTTAAAATATAAAGGACGAGAAGGAAAGTGGGGGCCTGAAAGGCGACCGTAGTGCTCGCACCGGAAAGGCAGGCACCGGACCATAGTCGCTGAGAGATCCGTTTGAGACCCCTCCCCTGCCCCAGGCCACGACGACCGGGTTGGACCGAGCCGGGACCGGAGCGAGACGGCAGGGCGGCAGCCCGGTGCAGTTGCTCCTCTTGGCCGCCAGGAGGCAGCGTAGGCCCAGGCAGGGCGGGCCGTGGTGACCCGGGAAGCGGTGGCAAGGGGGCGGGCCCGTGCGCGGGAGTCCATGTGGGCGCCGGCGCGGCGGGGAGCAGCGCGGGGTCGCCATGGCGGAGCTGCAGCAGCTCCGTGTGCAGGAGGCGGTGGACTCCATGGTGAAGAGCCTGGAGAAGGAGAACATCCGGAAGATGCAGGTAGAGGGCGGGTGCCCGTCCGGGGGGAGCTCTGGCTGGCCTCGATTTCCAGACCCTTCCCGCCGCCACCGCGAGATGCCCCGCGTCGCTGTCTCCCTCCCGCCCGGCGGACCCGAGTCGGGCGTCCCGGGGTCGCCGCGGGGCACTCGCCCATTGCTCACACAACTTCTGGAGCTCGACTGAGCGGATGAAATCCGTGCGCCCTAGCCACACGCACGGCCAATTTCCACTTAGGCCAACGCAGGGGAGGCGAGGTCCACAGGGCCAGGGGTTAGAAAACCCTTGGTGTGAGGCGATCGACCTCCCACACTGCGCCACCCTGTCAGCAGGTGAGCAGCCCGAGGCCCTGAAAGGGCACGGTCAAGGTGAAAGACCGGAAAGGCCAAAGTGCTCAGCCTCTTCGATGGCAGATCGTGTCGTGTTGTGTTACCCCGAACCCCGCTCCACATCGTACTGGTTTAGTTATAGTCTCTTCTCCCTTGAACCCCTAAAAGTGTTGTGGCTCTTGGCCCTGCCTCCCTAACCGGATTGTGGGTTCCCCTTGTCATTCCTCTTGAGTCATTGATTAATGGATCAATGGATCCATTGATTAATGGACCCCGGTAGAATGTAGATGACTAGGCTGCTGATCTCAGAAGCCTGTGGGGTAGGCACCGAGTTTTTAGAACTCGGGTTCATCTGACCCACCGCACCTTCCCCATCCACCCAGCTGTCAATGCAACAAATGCCGGTGAGCTAGTAGCAAAAAGGCCCTGAAACACTGCTAGGCAGGGTGGGTATTTCCCATTAATGGTTTGAAGATTCTGATGTCTATTCTGTGGAGATGTACAAATATAAATGCTCCTCTGTTGTACTCCATAGTCACTCCATAGTCATTCTGTCCCAGGAAGCTGTCCTACCTAACTTCACGCTTCCCCCTTTCTCCAGGGTCTCATGTTCCGGTGCAGTGCCAACTGTTGTGACGACAGCCAGGCATCCATGCAGCAGGTACACCAGTGCATTGAGCGCTGCCATGCGCCTCTGGCTCAAGCTCAGGCCCTGGTGACCAGTGAGTTGGAGAAGTTCCAGGTAAAGAATAACCCAGAGAACTCTAGTCCTTGCTGTTGCTCTTTTGCAGGAGATGAGAAGCATTTATTCAAAACTATTGGCTTTAGTGTCTTGTTTCTGCTAATATTTGTGGCAATCCTATGACCAACCAGTCTTCACAGGGCTTGAAATTTTGGAAGAAATCCTGGAGGTTAACTGCTGCATTTCCCTAACATTTCTATGTTTCCCATAGAAACAATGCTATAAGGGGCCTCCCTGGTGGCACAAAGGGTTAGGTCTCAGCACTATCAGGCTATCGCCAGCCACTGAAACATGAGTTCAAGCCCCGGTCAGGGAGAAAACCCACAATGCGCAGCAGACCTCTCCTGTTTGGCCCGCTGTTCCCCTCAGCAGTGTATTTCAGTAGATCAGCGTGTTCTGCTCCCCACTCTGTCTCTGGTGAATCCTCTCACACACACCCCCACACCTCTGGCCTACACCCCAGTTCTTATATGCATAAGTAAACAATAAATCTTTTTTAAAAAAGAAAAGAAACAGTGATGTAAAAGAGAACTACAAGGGGCACTCATAAAGCCTATGGTTTTTGGGTTTTTTTTTTAAGATTTATTTATTTTATTTATATAAGCACTGGGTACAATCAGAAGTGCGGGAGGGTGAAAGATTCACCAGAGCCAGAGCGGGCAACAGAACAGGCAGACTGACGAAATACACTGCTGAGGGGAGCAGCGGGCGGCAGGAGAGGTCTGCACGCCATGTGGGGCCCTCGCTGGTGGCCGGGGATCGAACCAGCGCTGCAGAGGCTGCTGGCAGCTTCACAACCCAGCGCTCAACCTCTGCGCCACCAGGGGAGGCCCTAGCCTGTGGATTTTTGTGGAGTTTTTTGTTGTTGTTGCTGTTTTTGCCATACACATCAAATATAATATGTATACTACATAGAATAAAGCTTTCATAAACATGTCAATTCATTCTTACATTAGCAGAATCCTCAGTATAGTAGATTAGGACAAGATCCTGCTGTCATTTTGTGGACTTCAACACCTGCCCAGGACGGTCCCTACTGACTACATTGGGAGGACCGCTCAGGAGTCACTAAAGATCGGTCATTTATAGGCAGCCTTGTTACTCTTGGCTCTCTCCTGCCTGCCTCATAAGCTCCCTGAGGTCACTGAAAGACCAGTAACACGCTTTGGAGCAAAGAGTAACTACAACTTTATTTTTTTCCCTTCCTCTGAATATACTTTTCTGGAATTTGGTGGTAGTAGAGCCTTCTTCTGAACCATTTTTTCATAGACAGAGATTCTGCTCACATGGAAAAATTGTATCTAATGTGATACAGTTTTGACATTTCGCTATACAAAATTTTTCAAAATTACTGATACTATTAGGATTAACTTTTCCATTACAGAATTCCAAAAAGTTTATGTTCATTTTGACAGCTCATTTTGTAACTAGGGTCTTTAAATTTTGATTCTTAAATTGCTTTATAATTTTCTCCCTTCATTGACGTTTCAGTCCAGTCAGACTTACTCTTCACTGTGCCAGAACAGCGCTTACCACACCCTCCATGGGGCTAAGTCCAAGGACCATTTCTGATTCCTCATCTTTACTCAACCTCTCTGCAACAATGACACAGTTGATCACTCACCTCATCCCTGAAGCATGATTCAGTTGGCCACTGCATACCTCACTTTCCTGGTTTTCCACCTCCCTCTCAGGCCATCCTTTCTTGACCTCCTTTTCTGGTTTATTTCCTCTCAGCTTCTGAGTATGGGAGTGCCCAGTGCTATCCTTACACCTTTTCCTTTTTCTACTGTGTTCTCTAGTCTCAATGCATATCTAGACCAACTAAATGCATATCTCTAGACCAACTTTAGTTCTGATCTCCAGATTCATATGTCCAACTCAAGACATATGAACATATGAACAGAATTTATCTGTTTTATCTATTATATTTCCCAACATAAGGAGACTATCCAGCACATAGTAGATGCTCAACAAATATTTGTGGGATTGAGGGTTTTTTGGTAGCAAGGACAGACATTGAAGAATCAAGATGTGTATAAGTCTTAGAGTTGAGTAACAGTAACCTCTAGTTACTTCTCAGTTCCTAGAAAGGGCTTCTATACCATTTATTCTGTCATTCACCTACTTTCTAATAATACTGTCTGGACCTTTCTAGTGCCACTCTGTCTTGATCAGGATAATTTTGGTTAATTGCACGATATTCATTCCCTTAATTAATCAAGATAATAGATGTCGAGCCAAAATATGTAGCACAGGACCTGGTATGTGGTATGCACTTGGTAAAAGGAAGCCTCTCAGCATTCTCTACCTTCTTCTTGCCACAGGACCGCCTGGCCCGGTGCACCATGCATTGCAATGACAAAGCCAAAGATTCAATAGATGCAGGAAGTAAAGAGCTTCAGGTCAAGCGGCAGCTGGAAAGTTGTGTGACCAAGTGTGTGGATGACCACATGCATCTCATCCCAACCATGACCAAGAAGATGAAAGAGTCTCTCTCGTCTATTGGGAAATAGAAGTCTTTGCCATTGGCCATTAGAGCTGAAGGCAAGAATCTATTTAAAAAGAGGAATGAGACTTTTGATCTTTTAAGTGAAGTTTTTGAATGAAGAAATTGAGGACATCAGCAAATTTAAGGCACATGTCACTTGCCTCTGGACACTGGTCTCTTAACACTACCTTTTAATCCTATAAAGTAAAATAGAAAAAAACTGGTGCTAAAATTTGGATCAGAACTAGCACAGGAGTGGTTTTGAGAGCCCATATATCATGTGGCAAGTGTTTGTCCTGGCAGGAGAGATTTCCCTTGCACCAAGCCAAAGCCCTCCACATATTGATAGTGCACAGGTACTTCTAATCTGACAGCTTCTCTAACTTGCCTGTGATCTGGTGGAGTGTGAGGAGAGGTATATCTGTTTCTTGCCAACCTCCCATTTACCACAAAGATCACTACAACACATAAAACAAAATCCATGAGGTCACTAATTTAGAAGGGGAGAAAAAAGGTTTCTATATCTTTGGTTGCTTGGTTTAGTTTTATATACCAGGTCATGAAGTTTATTTAAGCTATGGAATTGGGAGAGAGGGTAGTTCAGATAAGAACTTTGAAAAGTTCTTATGGATTTATTTTGGCCCTGGAGATGTGGATGTTTATTACTTGAAATTCTCACATATACGTCTTTCACCTTGGAGACCTTGCAAAAACATGAGAGGTGATGTCCTGCTGGGTATGGGAAGCAGAGCTCCCTCTCAATGGCTGCCGGGAAGCACCCTACAACAGAGTGACAGGACAGTCTTGCAGCGACACTCTCCCCTGAAGAAAGAGGCATTTTGATTGTGCTGTATGCCAGATTCTGAAAATGAACATGAAAGCGGAACTATTGGCTGGTTAATTAAAAGTTATGAAATACTGGACTTAGATAAGCCTGTTTTTCACAGAACAATGCAGTGAAAACCTAAATCCAGTATTGCTTTTACTTAACCACCTTAAAAGTGCTGATGACACAATCCTTTGGCAATAGGAAGGTCAAGGCAGGGAAACTAAGGTACCCATGAGCAGCAGTGATTCCTTTCATGAAAGGATGGGCATCCCCTCCATGACCAAACACCACTATGCCTGGACCCTTTGCATCCTGCAGTGTTCTATCCCAGCTCTGGCACTTTATTTTGATAAAGACCTAGTCTTTTTACCAACTTATTACTTGAAGTGATAATATAGCCTGTGTCTGCTGTTTCAAGGCTGTGATATATTTTCCTAGTGGTTTGGTTTTAAAAAATAAATAAGATTTAACTTTTCCTCAACTATTTTGTTTCTTTCCTCATATCTGAGCAGTGAATATAAAACTTTCTCAGAATGCTTTGCTGTAATACATGAAATAAGTTTCTTAAGAGGTCCCAAAGAGTTGTGTGTTACAGTTCAGATGCAGAACTGGTTTACTGTAAGTGGGAAAACTTGAGAGAAGACTAGAACACTATGGCTTTTAAGCCCATTAATATAAAAAGTCAGAAACTGTCTAGAAGGCTAAATATCCATATCAGTCTCCAGCTTCACTAACAATTCAATTGACAGAGATGAAAAAGTTACAAAATTATGACCCCTCTAGAGAAAGCCCAACATCTAGAATTTTGAGTACAAAGACAGTATAAAACATTGGATGAGTCTAGGTCAGTCTTTACTACCATTTGCACTTAAGTCTTTTTTTTTTTTTTAATATTTATGTATTTATACAAGCATTGGGTACATTCAGAAGTGCAGGAGGGCGAGAGAATTCACCAGAGCCAGAGCAGGGAGCAGAACAGGCAGAATGACAAATACACTGCTGAGGGGAGCAGTGGGAGAGACAGGAGAGGTCTGCCGCGCCGTGTGGGTCCCTCGCTGGCAGGCGGGGGATCGAACAGCCCAGCGCTCAACTGCTGCGCCACCAGGGGAGGCCCTGCACTTAAGTCTTTTGTGAACATTAGGAATGAGTTGAATTTGGGAAAATCATCTACTATTTAGAATCGCCAAGGCTTACCAATATTTTGGTGTAAATTGTATAATCCCCATTTCATTTGTAAATGTGGATCTTACTAATTGGGGTAACAACTGGGAAAAAAAGAGACCGCTTTTTACATTTAACTGCTTGACTTGAAAATCAATATTTTCTTTCAAAGATGCAGGGGGTGAGAGGATCCACCAGAAACAGCGTGGGGAACAGAACAGGCAGATCTACTGAAATACACTGCTGAGGGGAGCAGCGGGCCAGACAGGAGAGGTCTACTGCGCCACGTGGGTTTCTCCCTGGCCGGCCAGAGATCGAACTTGTGCTGTAGAGGCTGCGGGATGCTTCATAATGCGGTGCTTAACCCCTTGCGCCACCAGGGAGGCCCCCGAAAATCATTATTTTATATTAAAGCTGGCTTGAGTGTGGCATTTCACTTTTAAATATAGGGTAAGGCACCTGAAGCGGGGCTCTGGGGCCAGTGATACTGTTATAGAGCAACCCCGATATTAAACGGGTTCCTGGCTGTGGGTCCTCACCCGCGCGCTTTAAAGGGACTTATGAATACTCTACTACAGACACACGCCAAAGGGTTAATAAAAGGTTTATTTACAAGAGAAAAAGAAATAAGGAAAATGTACAACTCAGGGAGAAAATAGGGAAATAAAGTCTTTAATGCGTCCTACCCGATCCGACGACCTGGAAACCCAAAGTCACTCTCAGAGCTAGACGGACGCCGCGAGCTGGCCGAGGGCCCCAAAATGGAGAGCGCCCCAAAGCCCACATGTCTGCCTTTTGTATCCACCTGGCTGCTTAACCCCACCCTCAGGTCCCAGCCACCTTCCCTTGGGTGGTGATGGGATGTAGAGTTCCCAGTGTCTTTGGCTTTGGCCTGGGGTGGGGGTGGAGTCCACAAAGCCTGTATGGAATTAGCTTTGTGACAGCCTTTTTCCCCTAACAATACAAGAATTACAAGACCATTAGGAACACCGCCAGGAATATACTTTTGGGCTCTAGATTCCAACTCTTAGGCACTCTGCTCCCCGCGCTCTTCTGGTCACTGAGATGTACTAGAACCCCTGGCTCACAATGCCATCATGCTGTGGGAATACAAGCCAAAGAAATCGTAGGCTCCAAAGTTTCGTTTTCGTTTGATACGTAAGAGTAAGACAAACGATGCTAGAGGCAGGACCGCTGTCTCAACTTTACAGACAACGCAGTGCCATTCATGCAGCCGTCTCGCTGAGCCGCACCGCCCACCCGCCCAGTGGCGGGCCAGGCCACCGGAAGCTCGGGGCTGACGGATCCGTCCGGCTTCAGCTAAGTATCGCGAGGCGAGATGTGAACGCTACCCACCCATTGGCTAACGGGATCGTGACGTCAGACGCAGGACGCCGGGCCTACCGCGGGAGTGGGACGGAGGCCGTGGATTTCGTGTGGTGGCAGCTCTGAGCCCGGGGAGTAGACACCATGAGCAAAGCGCACCCTCCCGAGTTGAAAAAGTAAGTGGAGCGCCCGAGAAGCAGTTGCTTTGCATGCCCTGAGTTCTCAGTGCCCCCTCTATTTCCGGTGGCGCGGCTGGCGTGCGTAGTCGCCGACTCCCCGGCCTGGGTCCCGCTCTTGGGGCCTAAAGCCCGCGCAGTGTCGCCCCTCGGCCAGGTGGGCGTGGTTACCGAAGACGCCGACGGCGCCTCTGTCCGCCAGCTTCTGCCCGGGCTCGAGCTCCGCCCCACCGGGCGCTCCCGCGTTACCAGAATATCTGGAGTGGCATCCTCGTTGAACATTTTTAATAGCATCATTTCTAGATAAGGTGGCTGGAGAGGGTTTCTGTAAGGAACTACGGCGGTGGGAGGGCTGGAAATGTCTGATGGTATCTGAGGAACCAAAAACATCCTTAATCGTAGAGTGTTTGCAGCTGTTCTTGGATCTTTAACTTAGAAATCCCATTCTTCTTGCTTTTTTGTACTTGCGTGGCATGTATATCTTGCTGTTTTATCAGAGCTAAGAGAAAATAGGTTTTTCTTATCAAAGGTTAGGTTTTTGTGAGGTTTTTCTCCTGCATCCAGTGAAATTAGCTGAAAGTAGGTATTTTGGAGATGACCCGAGGTAGTTAATATATTCTAAATCCCTTCCGTTTTTGTTTATTATCCTGCCCTTCCCAAATTACATTCTTAGTATAAGTGCTGATGCAGCCCATCACCCTCTAGTCCTTTACGTTGTGTAAGGTTCTTACTATTTTAAATTTTATTATTTTTTTGTGTAAGTTTTAGCAAATTTTATTGACTGTATCTGAGGTTTTTACTATTTTAAATTTTATTTCTACTTTGTAAGTTTTAGCAAATTTTATTGACTGTCTACTTTGGTACTTATTTATGCTTAAGTTAGTTACCTTATCTTGATCCCTTTTGTTTTTTCAGATTTATGGACAAAAAGTTATCATGTAAGTTCTTTTTAATTGATTACTTTATACATCTTGACAGTATGTGTACAACAACTTCATAAAAGTACAAAGCACAAAGACCCTCTCATCATTAAATTAAGCAGGTTTTGTCAAAATCTTAGTTTTATTTACCTAATTTTGATATTTATTGAATTTCACAATGACACTTTGCGTAGTTTCATACAAGCCCTTCCACACTTTTACAGAATTAACAGGATTTTCCTGCTTTGTGATATTTGGGTATATAGCAGCCTTTTTTCCTTTAAGCAGAGGGTTTATACAAGGACTAAAAATCTGACCTGTGCAGTGTTTGAAGTATATAGCAGTGAAGACTGTGGCTTTAGAAGTGTGCAGCCTTCAATTTGAATCCCAGCTCTACTTCACAGTAGATATACAGCCTTGAACTAATTGAAAAGTCTATACTTCAGTTCCCTCATAAACATTAGTATAATACTTTATAATGTGGAAGTAAATGTAAAATGTTTAGCCCTGTGCTTAGCATACAGTAAGGGTAGTGGATTTACATCTCAAGTGCCTGGGTTTTATCCTCCCTATTTTTTTTTTTTTCGACTTTCCTAGATTTATTCATGTAAAATTTGCTCTTCTCTTATTTTTGGCCTACCTAACTTAGTGGAAAGTCAATAGTTATTGGTCAGGATTATTAAAACTTTTTTTTTCTCTTTTTATAGTGAAATTAAATGGTGGCAGACATGTCCAAGGAATACTACGGGGATTTGATCCCTTTATGAATCTTGTGATAGATGAGTGTGTGGAGATGGCAACTAGTGGGCAACAGAACAATATTGGAATGGTGGTGAGTAAAGATGAAAGATTTCTTTTAGAGATTTCACTTTTCTTTTGGAATAAGCATTTATGTCTCTTCTGTCAAATTCCCACATTAAATTGAAGTTAGGCAAATTACAAGCAAGATTAGACCTTCCATTTACCTTTCAGTTTAATATATAATAGTCATTCATCAGCTGTGATAATATCCTAGTTTCATGTAGGTGAGATCTGAATCTAATACAGAATTCTCTGAGGTCTTTGGGCTTGAAATAACTGTTGAAAATAAGTCTTAAGTTTTACTATGGTAGAGACCACATAGTCAGTCTTTGTTAAAGTAATAGTTCTCAATCATAGTTGCATCTTAGAATCAAATTAGACTGGATGCAGCATAGATTTTTTTTTTTTATTATAAGGCAAAGATTAACCACTGAGCTAGAGCATTTATGACCATGTGAGGAATTTTACCAAAAAAATAAATAATAACTATGTCTGAAGTCCACCCCAAAGCAACTGAAACTATATCACAGTGATGATATCTCTATTAGACAATTTTAGGTAATTTTAATGCTTAGTGAAGATTAAAAGCTTACTTATCAAGAAATGAAAGTTGCTTGTCAAATCAGCATGCGAATGAATTCCTAGATCTTGTTAAATGCAGGTCTTACTTCAGTGGGTGTGGGGTAGAGCTGGAGATTTTGCATATCTAACAAGTACCCACTTGATATAGATGTGCCAGTCTACAAATCACATTTTTCTTTTTTTTTTTTTAACATTTTTTTTGGTTTTTTTATTTTTTTTTTTTTTTTGGTTTTTTTATTGTTTAAGATTTTATTTATTTATACAAGGACTGGGGTACAGGTCAGAGGCACGAGAGAGTGAGAGAATTCACCAGAGACAGAGTGGGAAGCAGAACAGGCAGACGGACTGAAGACACTGCCGAGGGGAGCAGCAGGCGAGGCAGGAGAGGTCTGCCACGCCATGTGGGTTTCTCCCTGGGCAGCTGGGAATAGAACCCGCGCTGCAGAGGCTGCCGACAGCGTCACAGTGCAGCACTCAACACACTGCGCCACCGGGGAGGCCCACAAATCACATTTTTCTTAATAGTGTATATATTTTGGTTTATCACACCCAAATTTAAATGTAATCAAGGTAAAAGTCACAAGGGATGACTACAGTGTCAGTCATTCACATAGAATAAAATAAAATCAAATGCTGAATTAATTATAGAAGTAAATATTTCTACATTTACTAGGCCATAGTGGTATAACTGCTGAAGAAAAGCATTTGATGTCTATCTTTCAGACCCAGACTGACAGTATCCCCAATAAATGATAAGTTCAAGTTTCTTAGAAAAGATAAATCAAAAAGGATAATGTAGCTTTAACAACTCATGGCACATAATGACCTCTTGGAGGTGGTAAAAGTTCCTAATTGTTAGCCCTAATTTTTTTGCCTCAGTATCTTTTTCAGAATTGAGTCCTTTCCAAGGTTTCTATTAATGTTCATTTCAAGTGTATTTACATTACTATATTTTCATAAGCAAATTTATGGTTGGGACTGGAAAAACAGCGTAGAGTTTAGATATGAGACTATGCCTCCATATCTTAACCAAGTTTCTTATAAATTGACCATTTTCCTTTCAGGTTGAAACTGAGTAAAATTGGTGACTCTTTGGCAGCCCGATTCTTTTGAAAATCAGTTTTTAAATACCCTAAGCTTTCATTTTAACCCTCCCTTTTGCAGATTAAGATATCTTTGTTGTAATAGAGTGTAGACTCTATTTAGTGTTTATAGCTCAACAGATTAGTTTAAAAAGGATGCAAGACAGACTTGAGATCTACAGCTCAAGTTTGTGAAGATAAGCTTTTTGAGAATTTTGTGACATGGGAATTTTATCAAAGAAGGATTGAACCTTAGAAGGATCTCTCTCAAAAGTTTTCCTCAAAATTTTGATAGGCTTAATTGTCTTTACACAAAAATTGATTGACAGTGTCATCCCAACTCATTTAAGTAATTATAATTAGCACCTACTTACTGTGTTAGGCAGACTGCTATTCCAGCTCTGATTTATGGACTATAAAAAGTTTGTATTAGTAGACTTAAGTCTTAGCGCTAAGTGAACAATGCAAATCAAATAACGTATCAGTTGTCTTTAATGAAAAGACATTGTAAAGAATATGCAGGAATGGCTTTTTTCCTGAGGTTGAAAGAAGGGATACAAACACGTTTTTCACAAATTGTTCCCCAAAGTAGTAGTAGTTACATGGACTTCATTATTCTCTTTTCCAAGTCAGTTACCCATTGAGAGCATAGAGATTACATAGAACTATTAAGAATGTCTATGCTTTGAAGGGGAGATAATTTTGGGCATCTGTCAGCTGGATAGTTACCTCATGCTTCAACCAGCCTCCCCTGTGGCTGGCACAGAGTTGTCAGTAGTTACACCTATGTCTTAGTTGAAGAAATCAATTTATTTGAAAAAGAATGCTTCTTTATTCACAGTTACATTTATTAGCAGTGATTAATCAGCAGCCAGTGGAAGAAATCAGACCTCTTTTGAACATGCCCTTAAAAGCCTTTTAGCTCATAATCTTGCTTTATCCATCTGGTAACCTCAGAAAATGACAAAGAATGATATGGTTGAAGACATTTGAATACTTCCAGGTGACTAGGGAATTGTCACCTACTCTTTAATGTAGTAATTTACTTCAGGAATTACTTGAGTTTTACATTCTTCTGCTTCACATTCTTCACAATTTTAATTTCTTTTTTCCTCAAGCTGTACTTTAACCTTATTAGCAATCTCTTGGATTTCTGGAGTGGCAGATTTGGCTTCAATTAAGCCACCAAGTATTTGGCTAATTACTGCTTTACTAGGCAGGATGCTAGAACAGAAGTCTCTCACATTTGTCTTATTCCCTTAAGATTGTAACTCTACCCTCGGGTTCCCTTAAGATTGTAGGAAAAATTTCTAATGTTTATGATGCTGCCTAGTTTGTGGGTTCTTGCTAGCATTGTGCTTCTGGTGGCTCCATTTTGGGTTTATATTCTCTGGGCGCTCTCAAGAGGCGGAAAGCCTGAGCATCACTTTGCAACTAGTATTGAAGCATATCAGAAGGCATATGGAGCGGCCTCTGCAGCATGAGTTCCATCCCAGGGCGGCCCACATGGCGCGGCCGACCTCTCCTGTCTCGCCCGCTGCTCCCCTCAGCAGTGTGTTTTGGTTGGTCTGCCAGTTCTATTCCCTGCTCTGTCTCTGGTGAGTCCTCTCACCCCCCAACACACACACCTCTGGCCTGTGCCCCAGCTCTTGTATGCATAAATAAATAAATCTTTTAAAAAAAAAAAGAAGAAGAAGAAGGCATTTGGAATTCTGGAGCTCATGTTCCAGATTGGAGAATTGGACTTCAAACACAATGGGAAAAACGGAAGAGCACTACAGGACAAGAGTGGTCACTGGGGCCTCCCCGGTGGCGCAGCGGTTGAGTGCTGGGTTGCGAAGCTGCCAGCTGCCTCTGCGGCGCCGGTTCGATCCCCGGCTGCTCCCCGGCCACCGGAGGAGGGTCCCACATGGCGCGCAGACCTCTCCTGCCGCCCGCTGCTCCCCTCAGCAGTGTACTTCGGTCCTTCTGCCTGCTCTGCTCCCCGCTCTGGCTCTGGTGAATTCTCTCACCCTCCTGCGCTTCTGACTGTACCCAGTGCATGTATAAACAAAACAAACAAACAAATAAATAAAAAACATGCCTCTTAAAAAAAAAAAAAAAAAAAAAGAGTGGTCACTGACTAACCTTATGTTCTTAGTAAGGCAGCCATACTATTTTAGAAAATGTGTTTATTAATGATGCCACAAAGAAAAAGCCCTCAGCTCTGAAAACCTTAATTATCTGAAATAACTTCTTTACACTATTCTCTTTTTCTAAGGAAAATGTCAGAAATGGACAAGTTTAGGAGAGAACTAGGAAAGACAGCAAGTTTTTCATACCTTTGAGGTGTTATGTTCTTCATCATCATCTGCTTGCAAGATGATGAAGCAGGAGTTTAAAACTGAGAACTAGCTAAGCATATTGTTTAGCTTTCATTGTTTCTATAAACTCTGTAGAGTCTTCCAGCCCACTGTTATTTCAGGGCATTATTCTCTTTTAATTTCTTTAATTAAGCTCTTTAATTCTTTGCCATCTCCTCACCGTACTCATTGCTGTTAGTCTCTGTCAGACTCCAGGGTACCCTTCACCTTCCAAGGCACCCTTCACCTGTCCATTCTGTCAGCTGCACTAATCATATGCAAGTTCACTTGTTAATTTTACAGATACTTATTGAGCTTGCCACTATAGAAATTGACAGTATTCCTGGGTGAATTCTCTCACCCTCCCGTGCTTCTGACTGTACCCAGTGCATGTATAAACAAAAACAAACAAATAAATAAATAAAACATGCCTTAAAAAAAAAAAAAAGAAATTGACAGTATTCCTAAAGACACCAAGAAAGTCCTTCCCCTCATAAAAATGACATTTGGGTGAGGATGACAAACAATAGGGTATGGAATAAATATGTAAGCAGGGGGCAGGGAGAATAAGTTATAAATGTTTTTAGACCAGCTGCCTACAATCATTGCTCTACTCAAATCTTATTCAGAATGCCTCCCTTTTTAATAAATTGTTTCCTCTCACCCCCTTCCATTTTTTCACCTGTCTGGCTCTGATATGTGATTGCATCATGACCTGCAGTCCAGCAGCAACTCCTATTCACAATACCCTTTCCAGCTTTACTTTCTTTTCTACCCCTCTTAAACCCAATTAACCAGCCATTTCACCTCTGTTTTCATGTATGGATGTTTACTATGTCAGGCACTGTGCTTCTAGAGCCTTTTCTTTATAACCTCCCTTCCTGCCACTAGCTCTCCTGTTCTCTTATATGCTGTTGCCAGTCATTCCCCCAGAGGTGAAACTTTGACTCATTATGACTCCAAATACTTTAAGATTGGTGTTTGAGACCTTCTGTGGTTGGATGTCAACTATATTTGTTCCCCACTTCTCCCCATAACTTTTTATTGTATTCAGATTAGACTCTTTCCTTATCCCCTTTTACTGTTTCATCTCTGTTGTCTAGGATTTCCCCTCTTCCTGTTAAAATTCTACCCAATTTTTTACCGGATAGTCTCGCTCATAGCAGGAATTTAGAAAACCTAAATAAGGGACCAGGAAAAAGACTAATTATAATAAAGTAAAAGTCAAAATCAACAAGCAGCTATAAACCAGAGATATACCATGGGGTGGGGGTAAGGGGCAAGAGGGATTACAGTCAAAATAAGGGGAGGTGGGAATTGTATGGGGACTATAACCAAAATGAAAAGGCATACATTGTGCAAAAATGAAAAATGATGTAAAAAATGATGTAAAAAAATATATAAAATTGAAAAAAAAAATCTCCCCTTTTTTTTAAAAGATTTATTTATTTATACAAGCACTGGGTACAGTCAGAAGCGCGGGAGGGTGAGAGAATTCACCAGAGCCAGAACGGGGAACAGAACAGGCAGACTGACGAAATACACTGCTGAGGGGAGCAGAGGACAAGACAAGCCATGTAGGACCCTCGCCGGTGGCCGGGGATCAAACCGGCGCTGCGGAGCAGCCTCACAGCCCAGCGCTCAACCGCTGCACCACCAGGGGAGGCCCTCTACCCAATTTTTAATACCCAGCTAAAACAATATCTTCATAAAGCCTACTTAAAAAAAAAAAAAGATTTATTTATGCATACAAGAACTGGGGTACAGGCCAGAAGTGTGGGGGATGAGAGGATTCACCAGAGACAGAGCAGGGTACAGAACAGGTGAATTGACTGAAATACACTGCGGAGGGGAGCAGCATGTGGGTATCTCCCTGGCTGGGGATCGAACTCGAGATGCAGTGGCTGTGGGTAGCTTCATAGGTTGTGTCTTAACCCCTTGCTTTATCGGAGGCCCATAAAGCCTACTTTTGGCCGGTTTCATCCTAGCTTGTTCTTTGAATGACTTTACATAAACTGATGTAGTCTATAGTACCTATTTTTCACATTAATTTATGAGTCCCTTAGGGGCAGGGATAGGCATGTTCCATTTGAGTGCTGTAGTTGAGAAGGGGAAATGATTAGTAGAAGGTGTGGCATCTCAAAAAGATACTTGTTATCCTTTGACCTTGATGTGCATCTCACAAAGCACTTAGTGGTTTTATGTCATAATTTAAAAATGAGCTATTTTGTGTTTCTGTAAGTTGAAAAGAGATTGATAAACTGGCATTTAATACTAAAAAACATATGGTTTGGTGAAAATTCTTTTATCATCATTGGTGTCTGTTAAATGAATTGTTCTCTCTTCAAATTTATATTTCTTTCTTAGGTAATACGAGGAAATAGTATCATCATGTTAGAAGCCTTGGAACGAGTATAAGCAGTGGCTGTGTTCACCAGAGAAATCAGTTGCTTCCCCATGTCCGCTTCCACAGCATCTTTTTACAATGATATGAAAATTGGGTCGTGTACATTTTCTTACTGAACTTTTTGTTAAATAAACTTTTGAAATAGTCAAAAAATGTTTTCTCAGATGTTCTGAACAAAGAAAATAGATTGGCACTCAGAATTTTTTCTATCAAGAGCTATTCGTTTCAGAGCAGTTTTTTTCAAAGGTTTTTTTTTTTAATACATGCACAAACTGGGGTACATGCCAGAGGTGGGGGGTGGTGAGAGGATTCACCAGAGACAGAGTGGGGAACAGAACAGGCAGATTGACTGAAATACACTGCTGAGGGGAGCAGCGGGCCAGACAGGAGAGATCTGCTATGCGGATGGCTTCATAGGGCTGACACTCAACCCCTTGCGCCACCAGGGAGGCTACTTCAAAGGTTTTTAATGCATTAAAATAGAAGTCTTATTAAATATGGAAAATGGCAAGGATGCCTTTTCCACCCATCTTTTACCACTGAACAGACCCAAAAAAAGCTGCTACCCTGAGTAGATTTCTTCTGAAATATTAATCGTGTCAAAACTCTTGTAACTTTCAGAGTACTCTGTACTCTGAAACAAATCTACCTCTCAGTACAACAGAAGTAAAACACAGGATGTAGTGATGTAGTTGTTTATTTTGAACACAAGTGGGAAAATTTTTTGAATACAAGAGTAGAAATAGAATTCCAGAGAAAAACATTCCAGTGTATTGTGGTTCTTTATGGAGTAGAGAGGGTAGTGATAATGCTGCCCTTAATATATTCATCTAGTTCATAAATTAAGGTACACAAACTCAGATGACATATATTACAGATGGTTGTATCATAAATCTAATCTTAAGAAAACTACCAGGCAATAACTTAGGCCTATTCTTTTTGTGATCTGATAAAAAGCCCACAAACTCTGAATCACAACTGTAGAGAATGGTGTACACACTAGTGTGTATGGTGCTTTACAAAACACAATGAATTAATGTCTCTAAAGTGGTATTTCTTAGTTATAGAAAATACGGCAAAACAGGGAATAGCTAATTGCAATGAGGAGTGTTAATGTGAAGTCCAATACATTCCTGTTCTTAACAGCTATTTTACACAGGCTTACTTTTTTCAAAATCACTAAGACAGAATTGTGGAATAGTTCTCTTACGTGTGGTTTCCTAGACCAGTGGCATCACCTAAGAACTTAACAGAAATGCAAGTTTTATATCCCACTCTAAATCTGTTCAAACATTCTGGGAGTAAAACCCAGCAATGGTTTATTTAACAAGCCCTGCAGGTAATTCCAAGATAACAGAACCACTGGAGCAGAATTGGCTTCCATTCAGCTCCTTCATAATTTTTATTCTCTTCCCGTAAAAAAGATGAACTAGGGTGATCTCTGGAGTATAGACTCTAATAGTATTTTCTTCCAATAAAAAAAAAAATTTAATACTACATTAAAACTAACTTGCTTGCCATAATGATAACTTGTTTTGCTCTTTGAGGAAGCAATCTCAGATGCCCTGTTAGAAAAGAATCAGTAGGTGTGATATAGCAGCTTTTAAAATTGGTATTCTTTTAAGTAAAAATACATCCCATTGCAAAACAAGTCTACAAGTGGTAGAAATTAAGTTAACTTTCATTAGCCCTTAGTCCTTTCCATCTTTAGCATATACGTGTTAACACATTATTACATTCCCTACATATTTTCCTCACTTAAATCACAAAGGAAAAAAACACCCTCAACATAATTCAGAAAAAAGCTTACCCATTGACAAACTAAGTTTAATCCCTGCCTGTACACTATCTCAGCAGTTCTATTGGCATAATCTTCACAATTATGGGAGAGAAGTCATTTTAAGTAAGAATCGATATTCTCAACACTTTTGCTAAATTGCTACTGCGATAATCTGGTAAAGGACTTCCTTTTTTAACAATAATTTGGTTGCAGTTACTTATAAAAGTCACAAGATTTTACTTGTTCTGTCCCACCATGACTTACGCAGCTGTGACCTTTGTACAGTACGTGCAGAACTAGTCCTCAAGTTTGCACAGTAGAATCATTTCATGAGGTTCTAAGTCCTACAGGTGATTTCAACATGCAGCCAAAGTTGAGAATTACCACTTTTAAAACAAGATTTCAGGAACCAGTTTCTCACCCAAAATGCTGCAGTAGCTTTAGAAGCACTTAACAGATTGAACAATGCTGGATCTGATCAAGCATGGTATCATTCTGAATATACAACACTAGTGTCAACTGCTCTAAGTTGCCTCTGCTATTAGACTGCCAGTGCTTCTTATCAAGATCCGTTACTAGAGTTCTCATTGGGAGAAATAATCTTTCACAAATTAGATCTGCTTTGATAATAGATTGGGTTTCTTGGGAATTAAGGCACTAAAAACCATTTGCAGACACCTTAAACCCCCATCATCTGATTCTCAACCCAGGTTGCACATTAGGAACTTTGAAAAGCTCTAATACTGAGGTGCTAGCATCAATCTATTAAATCAGAACCTCTGATTGGGGGCGGGGAGTCTACCAGTATTTTTATAACCTCAGATGATAACAATGCCAGTTCTTAAGTCAAAAACCTATACTTTTCATTTTACTAGAGATTTTTATGTAACATCTTAAGGTTACACCAAGATTTCTGAATTTCACCCCTAATAAAACAGAAAAGCAATCAAAAGAACATTCTGAAAGTCAAAGCTTCAGGCACATTTACTTTGAAAAGGGTATAAATTATTAAAGCCAAGTGTCAGATACCAGTCCCCATAGTAGTACCATGACTGAAGAACACATCCAGCTGTGAAGCACAAATGAACTAGTCCCCCAACTATAAGGCAGGTCTTTAAATTCTTCCTCAAGTGCAGTTTAAAATGCTCAAAACCCAGGCTCCGCCACCTGATCTACTGAGGTCCTACTCTCCAGAGGAGCTAGAGACTCCCTGTTTAACAAAGTCCAGATGATTCTTATGAGCAGAAAGGTTTGGGAAATAACACTGATGGATACTGAGTTAAACTTTGGAGATGGCATAAATGTAATACTTACACCACAACAATTAGAACCTTGTATTTTCTCATGACTCACTGGGTTTTACTTTTGTTAAGCAATGATAATGGCAAAATATCTGATTCAAAATCACTCTTGCTCAGATGGTATTTTTTGCCAGTGAATTTCCATCAGGAACCAGGAGGGGAAAAAAGAGATGGTGGTCTTTCACAGCTCAGTTTTAAGTTTCTCATATAAGTCCTCTTGGTCAATCATGCCTGTGTGCCCATTCCAGCGATGATAGGCAAGAAGAGCGGCATTGTGGGCTGCAATGGCACTCATCTCCATGGCACTTGCTGCACACTCTATGCCATTAAGGTAATAAAGTCGATCATGGAGTATGATGGAGGGGCATTTCTGTGGAGGCTTATAGCGAGGATATGCAAGCCATGGCTGCTTCACAGCAAAATCATAGGACAAAAAGAGCTTTAAAATCTGTTTCTTAGTAAGAGTTTCTTGGGAAAAGATCTTCCAAACAGAGGTCCCATCTGTTGATGGTTGAGGATTATCATTTTTTCTTACTGAGGGTGCAATTCCCATACTATTAATGAACAAATCTGAATTATCAGTGGTTAAGATTGTTGTGAGATCAAGCTTATCTAAGGCTCTAGAGCTAAAGAGAGATGCATTCAACTCCCCCTTAACGAAAGTTGCCACTATATGTTGGTAGTATTGATGGAATTCCTCAATTGGAGGCTCAAAGTTGAGAAAAGTTATATTGGACATTTTTCGATTCAATGGAGTGGCCACCACGACAATATCATAGAAGTCTGAACGGGTCTCAGATCCAGTTTGGTAAACCACTTCATACATCTTTGTGGGATCTCCTAGAGGTAAGGAAGGAAGCATATATTCCTTTAGTGTTTCTACCATACTGCATTTTATACCTTCTAAAAATAATTCTATACCCTCTTGGTTTTCTATACTTCTAAGAAATTCAAGAAGTTGAATCCCTTAATATAATCATCCCTTGTATTGTATTACATTGAGGCTACTTCCTATTTGGAGTGCAATAAAACCTTGTCAATAAGTACAAAATAAGAATTTTTTTTTTTGAGGATGAGATGATTTTCCAAATTCAAGGAGTCATGCCACTGTACTTGAGCACTTAGGAGAATATTTCTACTTGACATAACAAATACAATTTAAAATTCCATCAACTGGAACTGTGTGAGATGCAGGAAGAGAGGTTTTGTTTTTCCCCCAAGCAACTATATTCTACAGGAAAAATTAGGAACAATAAAATGGAAGTCCAAGCTCACCTGTATTTTTGGTCCTTGTCTTCTCCTCTATGTACATTACTGAGCCAGTTATGAGAATGCTTTTGGAAGCCTGAAGGAGCCCTGAGCAAACAAGTTTATTGCCACCTTCTACTGCCCAAAGGCCAGAATCAGCACCAGCCATTGACACTGCCCCTGTCAGTGGTAGGGAAAAAATGGATTTTAATTCTAACTCTATGAGAGGCACTCTACCCAATAAAGCTAGTTCTGCTCCAAATGTCTCCAGACACTGCCTAATAGCCCTAGGAGTGAGCAAATCACCCATCCCCAAGAATCATTCAATTAACATCCTCCCCATAAAATTGCACATCAACACATACACAATTTTGGCAACAATGTGTTTCTTTTCTGAGGTTTCAGAAAGAAAGGAAGTCTTCTCCAAAGCATATCTAAAGTCAAGACCCACCATAATGACAAGTCCCACTGTGAACCAAATGTCCATTACTGTTTCAAGCCTTGGCTTACCCACAAAGCCATTGATGTTCATGCTTTGGCCATAATTAACTCTCATGACAGGAGTAACAATTTCATCGAGGAATTTCTCAGAGAAGCCTGCTTTCTGCAAGGTTTCAAGAAGTGTCCGGTTAAGCATTCCAAGGAATTCATCCCCTCCTAGAGAATGTAGTAACTTTTCTACACTACTGAAGGCATAGTCATGAGATTGGTAGCGGTAGATCCTGTTGAAAAGAAGAGAACTGCCATTAAATACCAAGAAAGAAGGGAAACAGCAAACTGACTTTCGCATTTCCTTCTGATGAGTTCCTCCCTACCACATTAGGCGGATTTCAGTCACCATCCTCCCTAAGTCTCCCGGAAGTTTTTGGACTCCTATTCCTTCTGTCTCTTCTGGAAACTCACTATCCTTTGTACATAGTTTTCTGCATTAACATGGTTCTTGGGAGTGTCTTTAAAGAAATGTGTATGTCTTTTCATTCACTTGTATCTTCCAACAGCACTTAGACATGTCTAAAATTAAATTTTATCTTTCCACCAGGAGTGGTCCTCTCCATCTATTTCCCCCCAGACCCCATCCTGACTACTCTTATCCTACATGTCATCCTCAGTTCATTTCATTTAAAATTTAAACATTTTTACTTCTCTTTTCTGCTTCTCCTACCCAAGAGAATTTTGTCGAGCTTTCGAACAACTCTCTTGTTCTATTCTTATGTTTCTGATCTTAAGTCAGAAATTTATATTCAAACTATTCAAATGAATAATTGAGCTACCTGCTTCTAGGTTTTTTTTTTCTTTAAAACTTTTGTGAAGGGGCCTTCCTGGTGGCACGGTGATTAAAGTCTCAGTGCTATCAAGCTATCACCAGCCACTGCAGCATGAGTTCAATCCCCAGCCAGGAAGCTAACCAACATGGCGCAGCAGACCTCTCCTGTCTGGCCCGCTGCTCCCCTCAGCAGTGTATCTCAGTAGATCTGCCTGTTCTGCTCCTCACTCTGTCTCTGGTAAATCCTCTCACCCCTCAGTCCCCACAACTCTAGTCCACACCCCTGCTCTTGTATGCATAAATAAAAATAAATATTTTTTAAAAATTTATGAATCTCTCAGAAGCCCTATAATATCTTTTTTAAAAAAGATTTATTTATTTATACAAGAACTGGGGTACGGGCCAGATGCACGGGAGGGTGAAAGGATTCACCAGAGACAGAGCGAGGAACAGAACAGGCAGACTGACGAAATACACTGCTGAGGGGAGCAGCGGGCGCGAAAGGAGAGGTCTGCTGGGCCATGTGGGACCCTCGCCAGCCGCCCAGATCGAACCAGCGCTGCGGAGGCTGCGGACAGCTTCATAGCGCTGTGTTCAACCGCCTGCACAACCAGGGGAGGCCCCCTAAAATATCTTTTGTCATTCATTCACTTATTTTAGAAAACCTTTACTGCTGCTTACTAAATAAAGTCCTATCATTAAAAATAATCATGGACTTTAAAGTCAAACTCATCAAGTCTATCTCCTGTGCTCTAATTGCAGATAAACAAAGTAGAAGTAAAAACAACTCTCTAAGTCAAATAGTAAGTGGAAGGCTCAAGCACAAATGGGATTTTCTGCCCTCAAACTCAAACACCCTCACATACACACACACCTGACCCATTCACGGTCTCTATGCTCTGCATATTGAGACCAGATTACTATATAAAACAAAGAAGAAACAAGCACCAAAGAAAGATTTCTATGACTGACCATGAGAGTTTTTATATAAACTTTCTACTCAACATATACTTTAAGTTTCTAGAGAGCAAAGAACAACGTGACACCCATTTTAGTATTATCTTCTAATAGTGTAGTATATAATTTCTTTTTAAATTATATTGTATAGTACTTAATATTTATACATTTACTTACTCATCCATCCATTCAACAAATATTTATGGAGCATCAACTTTCAGTGGGAAACTATTTTGGGTGCTAAGGATGCAGAGGTCAACACAACAGTGGGGAAAAAATCCCAATTCTAACGGAACTTATGTTCTAGCTGGGGGAAACAAGATAATAAAAATAAATGCAAGTGACTTATATAACAGATTAGAGGATAAGTATTAAGGAGAAAAATAAATCAAAAATGAGTTTGGGAAAGCTTGGAGTTGGCAAGGTTGCAATTCTACATAAGATGGTCCAAAAAATAAGTAGTCTAGGAAAGCATGGCTGAGAAGGGGGCATCTGGGCAAAGACCTGAAGACAAAGATGCAAGCTATGTAGTATGGGAGACTGGGCACCCTCCCACTCTCCTGAATATATCAGCTGAGGTGCAAAGCATCCATGAGGTCAGTGCAGTTGAAGAAGAGATCCAGTTGATGGGCCTCCCTGGTGGCGCAGGAGTTAAAGACACAGCACTATCAAGCTGTCACCAGCCACTGTAGCACAAGTCTGACTTTGATCCCTGGCCAGCCAGGGAACTAACCCACATGGCGCAAATGAACTCTCCTGTCTCGCCCACTGCTCCCCTCAGCAGTGTATTTCAATAGATCCATCTGTTCTGCTCCCCGCTGTCTCTAGTGAATCCTCTCTCTCATACACACACACACCTGCATCTCTGGCCTACACCCCAGCTCCTGTATGTATAAATAAATAAATCTTTAAAAAAAAGAGAGAGATCCAGTAGAACAGGAAGCACTACAGAAAAAGTAAGGTGGGGAGGGTCTATGAAGCACTTTCAGAATGGTGAGGTAAGGATGTCAGAAAATCTGCTTCTACACAAAAGCAATAAATATACCTGTAGTGCCCTCCCTGGTGGGGTAAGGGGTTGAGCACAGCACTACGAAGCTAACCACAGCCTCTGCCTCCCATATCTGTAAATAGAAGTTAAAACAGTACCTAACAGTACCTCCCTGCAGGCCAGGGAGCTACCCCCATGGCACAGCACACCTCTCCTGTCTTGCCCGCTGCTCCCCTCAGCAATGCATTTCAGTCAGTCTGCCTGTTCTGTCGTCACTCTGTCTCTGGTGACTTCTCTCACCCCCCACATCTCTGGCCTGTCCGCCAGTTCTTGTATACGTAAATAAACAAATCTTTTAAAAAATAAAATAAATATACCTGCAAAAACTGTCTAACGGAGGCAAATGCCTTGAGTGGACACACAGATACAGCTATCGCCCCAGTTCAGCAGTGTTTCACCACTATAACTAGCACATGCTGGCTGAACACCAGCTTCCTCTCTTGTCTCATGGGGCAGATCATGAGATCTCTTATCTCAAAATAAGATTTGTAGGTTCCTGATTTATTGAAAGAAACAGAAAATGTACAGCACATGCCCTTTATTTTAAAAGATTTATTTTTATTTATTTATACAAGCACTGGGTAGAGTCAGAAGCGCGGGAGGGTGAGAGAATTCACCAGAGCCAGAGCGGGGAACAGAACAGGCAGAAGGACCGAAGTACACTGCTGAGGGGAGCAGCGGGCAGCAGGAGAGGTCTGCGCGCCATGTGGGACCCTCCTCCGGTGGCCGGGGAGCAGCCGGGGATCGAACCGGCACTGCAGAGGCTGCGGGCAGCTTCACAACCCAGCGCTCAACCGCTGCGCCACCTGGGAGGCCCCAAGCACATGCCCTTTAAACATCACGGTCAGTACCATACAGTCAACTATCAAAGTTAGACCAGGGCCTCCCTGGTGGCGCAACCAGTTAAGACGCAACCTATGAAGCTGTCCGCAGCCTCTGCGGCATAAGTTCAATCCCTGGCCTGGGAGCTACCCACATGGTGCAGCTACCCTAACTCACCCACTGCTCCCCTCAGCAGAGTACTTCAGTCAATCTGCCTGCTCTGCTCCCCCACTCTGTCTCTGGTGAATCCTCTCACCCCCCACACTTCTGGCCTGTGCCCCAGCGTATGCATAAATAAATAAATCTTTAAAAAAAAAAAAAAAGTTAGACCAGAGGTGGGGCAGTTATCCTATGAAGTTTGGGAATTTTCTTCTAAAATTAAAAATTGCATAATTTATGGTTCCCCTCACTGGGCCCTGTCACAGTTCTATAATACCTTGAATTCATGTCAAAAGTTATTTCTTAATTGCTCAAGTCACAATTTCCTGATAAGAAAATTGATACAGACAGGGCTGCATCTGATTTCATCTGAACTTGATTTTCCTGCTGAGCATTGAGCCACATGCCACCCACCTTCTCTCAAAAGTGACTAGCTGACTCTATACAAATTCTATATATTTTCTTAGTTATTGGTTTATTGCTTGCCTCCCTCCTAGAAGGTATATTGTTTGAGAGCAGGTTATATGGTCTCAAGACCTAGACTAGTGCCTCTCACAGAATAGGCATTCAATATTTGGTGAATGAATCAATGAATGAATGAACAAATGAATGAATGACTACTTAAAAACAATATGCACTGTAGCTTGACTTAATGTACCCAGAAGGAAAGGCAAACATCACCCCAGAATGATGTTTGAAAAGAAAGAAATCCCTAACTATCAGAACTTACAGAACACAGAGACTGCCTGAATTGGGGGGGGGGTCACGGTCTATGTCTCCCATTTTTTATTGTGGATGAAGGGAGGGTTGGCTGTATGACCAAGAATAGCTGCATAAGGCAGTGCTGACAGAAGCTAATACAAAGACTGCCTGGTGCAGCCTCACAGGGGACGGAGTTCTAGGAACTGAGGAACTGAGGAGTGCAAGGGAAGAGGCGCCCTTTAGTTACAGAAACTACAGTATATTATCCTGAGCAACTCATATTGGCCTTGTTCGGTGCTAGGTCAAACGACATGGAAGTTTACCCATTTATCAATTACTTTATTTTATTATGTTTGACACTGTCATAGTGATAAAATACCACTAGCATTTACGAGCTGAATTTCTCCAGCATCTAAAATTGTAAACCAGAGCCTCCCTAGTGGCGCAAGGGGTTAAGCACTGCACTATGAAGCTATCCGCAGCCTCTGCAGCACAAGTTTGATCCCTGGCTGGCCAGGGAGCAACACACATGGCACAGCAGACCTCTCCTGTCTCACCCACTGCTCCTCTCAGCAGTGTATTTCAGTCAATCTGCCTGTTCTGCTCCCCGCTCTGTCTCTGGTGAATCCTCTCACCTCCCACACCTCTGGCCTAGTACCCCAGTTCTTGTATGCATAAATAAACAAATCTTAAAAAAAAAAAAAGGAAAGAAAGAAGAAGAAGAAAAAGAGGCACCTGTATACTCACTACCCAAGACAGTACTGGAATTTATCTCTATTCCAATTGGTGGGGTACAGAACCGAAGCTCTACTTCAGCCTGCTGGCTCCCAGAAACATCATGTCACAATCAAAGTTCGTTTAAGTTTTTTAATCCTTTTTTTTTTTTTTTAATTTTATAGAGGCATGTTTATTTATTTATTTGTTTGTTTGTTTTTTGTTTATACAAGCACTGGGTAGAGTCAGAAGCGCGGGAGGGTGAGAGAATTCACCAGAGCCAGAGCGGGGAGCAGAGCAGGCAGAAGGACCGAAGTACACTGCTGAGGGGAGCAGCGGGCGGCAGGAGAGGTCTGCGCGCCATGTGGGACCCTCCTCCGGTGGCTGGGGAGCAGCCGGGGATCGAACCAGCGCCGCGGAGGCCTCGGGCAGGTTCGCAACCCAGCGCTCAACGGCTGCGCCACCGGGGAGGCCCAGTTTTTTAATCCTTTCTCAAGCTTTTAGACATTACCTCATTCATCTACACAATACCAGCACAGTACTGAGATTAAGAGTGAGGGCTCTGGAGGCAGACTGCCTGGGCAGGAACTCCAACTGTACCCAGTTCTTGCACACTTGAAACCTCTCTGCCTCTGCCTCCCATATCTGTACACAGAAGTTAATAACAGTACCTACCAGAGAGTGTTGTCATAACAATTCCAGGAGTTAATATTTGTAGCACATTTAAAAGAGTGGCTGGCAAAACTAAATAAGCATTTGCAAATGACATGTTCAGAAGCAAAAATAAACTACTCTTTTAATTTCCAAGTGGCTAAGTGTTATGTCTATTTTATGCAAAACATCTTGCCTAGCATCTTTAAACAGGTCTTGCAGTTACCTAGAGAAATGTTTCCAAGAAACATTAATTCCTAAAGATCATCTAACTAAAAGATCTTAGGTTAAATGAAAAGGAAAAAAAAATTACCTCATAAATTTGTCTAACACATCCTCTACCCACATGTGCATACGGAGGGGTTGAAATCCATATTGCCAAATAAGTTTAATAATGTTAATTATAAACCAGGAGCTCTCCTGAAACACCAAAGTCTCTCCATTATACACTCCCATTAGGCCACCAGAGCTCTGAAGAGTTGAAAGACCTGCAAAAAACAGAGAAAAAGTAGCTAAGTCAGTGGTTTCTGTGCTGATCAAATGAAAGAAGGTCTCTGAAGCTATCCCAGACATTCAGAAGTGAGTGAGTTCTGGGCTTCCCCTAGTTCTCAGGAGACATATTAAATGAGCTCTATCTTTAGAACAGTGTGTGATATAATTACACTATACACTCTCCACATTGTCCAAAAGCAGAGTATCTAAAAGATGGGTCACGTGATCATGCAGATATATCAAAATTGGACTGGCTATTTTTAAAACAAAAAGTCAAAGGAAAAACTAGAGTACCAACTGAACAGAACTTAAAAACAGAAGTGTCAGACATCACTCTTTGCTGCACAAATTGTCCCTGGCAAACGAATGTCCTCAAGGAGGAAAGGAAAATCCAGGAAGCATCCACAGGGGATGAAGAAGACAGCGCAAGAAAAAGGAGGCCTCCCCATTTCTATACAGATCCTGTTTTGCAGAACTGGTATTTCAGATAACTGGAAAGTGGACAAAATGACACCATCTTCCCCAAGGAAAGGACCTGCAGAGGCCTGCCAGACAACCCCCATAACCTGTCCAGCTCTGCTGGGAGAGAAGCAGTCAGTTATCCCAGGTCGTAGGCACATGTCTGTGCCTATAGTTGTATGACTAAGCCAGACAATTCAGGTTTCTCGGCCTCCTTTCCCCAACTATAAAATGAGCACACTAGGTTTCTGCTAACGTAAACTACCCTTCACCAGGAACCCAGAGATTTAAGAACTAACAATTGTAACCAACCCTACCCCAAGCCCTCCCATGGTTGTAATTCCAGATAACTGAAGATACAGATAACTAGTGTCCCATTACAGGAGAGTGGCTCCTAAGGCAGTACCAATCGCTAGAGGAAAGTGAGGAAAAGCTCTCTGTAAAAGACAATTAACAAGGCAGAAAGTTTCACTTCCCTATCTAATAAAAATATCCATGGATGGTTACACACAAATCTGCTTAGCTCTAAGGACAAACAACATACCCAGATCTTTGACAAAACGCTTCATGTGCAGATTTAAAGGATGGATGACAGAACCTCCTGCTTCATATTCTTCCCCCAGCACAGACAAGGTGGCTAGACGGCCCCCCACCTCTCCTCGTTCAAACAGGTGAATTGTCACATCTTTCCCAAATTTCTGCCGCAGATAATAGGCTGCTGAGGTGCCACCAATTCCAGCTCCAATAATGGCTGTGGAAGAAATAAAAAGATCTCTCTTACCAAGCCCTGTGAGTTCTGCTTTGTTTCCAAAGGTCACTTACCAATAATAGATGTTACTTAAGGTTACTGTCAACAACTTAACCAAGCCCGAGGAGGAAGAGGCAAGTGACAGTTGCTGCTAAGACACAACTCTCTCTGGACAGACATTGCCTCCAGACAAAAGTGGTATTAAATTACATTACAAATTGACATCAATTACTTTTTTCTTTTTCTTTTTTTTTTTTTTTGCCACATGCCCAAAAATTCTCTGTTCTTTGCCAAAGCACCACTGGGCCTACGCATCCTTCTTTGTGCCTAAAGCATGGAAACAGAGGAGGTGGGCCTTTCCAGCACGCATTTAAATAAAGTGGCCGCCATTTTTGTCTGGATTTGTTCTGTCTCATTAATGTAGCTAAGTTACTGGTCCTGGAGAGCACAGCTTTAAGGGAAATAAAAAACAAAGCAAAACAAAAGAGGCAGCAAAAAAAAGCCAAGAAGACTGCAACTGCAAGGAAAGTAGATTCTTTTGGCTATGCAGTCGTCCTAAACAGAGCAATTGTGCAAGCCACAATTGTGCAAGCCTCAGAAAGCAGGCCGACCTGAGAAAACCAGAGCGGGGGTTGGGGGTTCCAGCCTTTCCAGGGAAGCAGAACGGTTCAGCTTGTTTGCACTGCCGCGTACTGGGCTCGTGTGCGCCTGTCATCTGCAGAGCAGAGGCAGCCCGGCCCCCTCCACGGCGACCAGAGCCCTGGCCTTCCAAAAGGGCAGCAAGGGAAGGCGGCGAAGGGACCTCGGCCTCCCTGAAACCATAGGCCTGCGAGATCCAGGCTTACAGGGACGTTTAACGCCAGCCCCCTACCCACCCGGGTCTCCCCTCCACTGCCTATTCCTCAAGTGAACGCATCTCCACCGCCAGCCCTCGGCAGCGAAACCCGCGGGGCGAACCGGGAACAGCGCGACCTACACGAGGGCCGGTCCCGCGCGGCCTGGCGGGCGTCGCGGCTGCGGGGCCTGGTGCCCAACCCCGCAGCCGCCCGGCTCGGGGCGCGCTACCGCACCCCCTCCCGCGCCGCCCCCTTCTCGCCTACCGATCTTATCTGGCGGGGCCCGCCGCTCGGCGCTCCCGAGGCACCCCCAGCAGCAAAGCAGCAGCCACAGCCCCAGAAGCGACGACACCATCTCCCCGGCGGTGCGCCCCATGGCTCCCCCAGCTCAGCAGACGGCCAGGAGCGCCCCAGTGCCGGCCAGCCGCTGCGCATCTGCGCGCTCCGCCCACCCCGCCCCGCCCCGCCCCCGGCCGACCTGGCTCTCCCGGCCCCGCCCAGGTCCGACCCGCCGCGCTGGGCCCTAGCACCCCCGGTCCTCTGGACCGTCCTCGAGCTCGCAGCCCAGGGGCACTCGGTCCCCCACATCCGCCACGCCACGGCCCTCCACAGCCCACCCTGCTTCAGGAAGACACCAAAGGTAGCGGAGGAGGCTCACCCCAACTCTCCTTCCTTCTCATCTATTCTGATGAAGCACTTTATTTACTAGTGCCCTCTCAAAGAATGCACGTAGCTAGTTGTCAGAAAGAGACCTGTGGAGTAACACTTACTGAGTGACAACGTTGGGTTAGGCACCAGATGAAAGGGTCAGTGGTGCTACGTGCAAGAAAAATGAGGGAGACAGGGAATGGAGTGGTTCATGGTGAATGAAGTAGAAAAGTTGTGACAAACATGAAGAAAAGCTATGTATCTATGTCATACGATGGGACATCGCGCAGGTATTAAAAAGAACTTAAACTCTCTAACTCCCGTCTAGTATTGTTAAGTGAGAAAAACAGGTTGCTGAGTAATAGGTATTATATGATTCCATTTCTGTAATTAAAACATCATAAACCAAAAGAAAAGAAAAACTAGTATGTGAACTTGAAGAATGTATGGAAGAAGGAAAGTAAGTTGGATAGAAAGAAAAGTTGAAACAAAAACAAAGAAAATAATCCAGTCAAAAAATGGGCAGAAGAGCTAAAAAGAAACTTCTCCAAAGAGGAAATGCAAATGGCCAACAGGCATATGAAAAAATGTTCAATGTCACTTGCAATCGGGGAAATGCAAATCAAAACTACCATGAGATAACATCTTACACCAGTGAGAATGGCACATATTAATATTAAAAAAACTAGCAACAACAAATGTTGTGGAGAAAAAGGAACTCTCCTGCACTGCTGGTGGGAGTGCAAACTAGTCCAACCACTATGGAAAGCTGTGTGGAGATTCCTCAACCTACTAAAGATAGAGCTCCCATATGATCCAGCAATTCCACTCCTAGGTATTTACCCAAAGGACACAGAAACATTAATTCAAAAGGGCACCTGCACCCCTATGTTTATAGCAGCACTATTTACAATAGCTAAGCTTTGGAAACAACCCAAATGCCCAAAAATAGATGACTGGATCAAGAAGATGTGGTACATATACACAATGGAATATTATTCAGCAATCAAAAAAGATAAACTCATGCAATTTGCAGCAACATGGATGGAGCTGGAAGGAATCATGCTCAGCGAAATAAGCCAGAAAGAAAAAGAAAAATACCGGATGGTCTCACTCATAGCAGGAATCTAGAGAACCTAAATAAGGGACCAGGAGAAAGAATAACTATAATAAAGAAAAAATCATAATCAACAAGCAACTATAAACCAGAGACATACTATGGGGGGAGGGGAATGAAGAGGAGGGATTGGGGTCAAAATAAGGTGGGTGCAATTGTATGGGGAATATAAAAAAAAAATCTTAAAAAAAAGAATTTCAAAATTAAAAAAGACAAAGAAAAAAGAAAAGTCGAACTCAGAGAAAGGAACTGAAAATTCACTGCAAAAAGCATTCGTTCTTTGGACAAATAGTTTTTGAGTTCTTTTTAAGTGAAGGGCAATGTTCATGAGAAGAATCACTGGACAAAATAGATTTTTTTGTATATTCATTCTAAAGATGTTGGCATTCTAGTGGAAAGAGATATAATTAGAGTAAGTAAATAATATCCTATAGCAACTTGAGTAAAAGGAATGGGGAATGGATTGAAATTTTAAATAGGATAGTAAAAAGTAGATCTCATTGAGCAAAAGCTTGCAGGAATTGAAGGAGTAGGCCATGCAAATATCTGGGGAAAGAGTTTTATAGGCAAAGAGAATGCCTCATGTGTTCGAGAAACAGCAAGAAGGCCTATGGAGCAGAGTGAGAAAGGGAGAATGAAAGTGTTAATGAAAAAGGAGTATAAGAAATAAACACTTCTACACAAAAATATGAAGATTAAGTACCCTTTTTCACTACATTTAGAAATTCACAAAGAAAGACCTAAACTACTTCTCTTTTTACAAACTGATTTGTGACTACCACACCTGAGTGTATTAAGCTTAATAGAGCCTCAAATATTTGTTGATTAGAATTGACCATGTTAGTGAGCTTGACACAAGTATCATATTTGGAAACTTTCATTTCTAATACTGAAACCTAGAAAAGAGAATACCCGGTGCAAAGAGTACAAAAGGCCTGCACAGCAGGAGAAAGCAAAGGTTTTTGTTGTTGTTTTTTTTTTTTTAAGATTTATTTATTTATGCACGCAAGAGCTGAGGCACAGGCCAGAGATGGGGGCGGAGGGGGGGGGCACGCAGTGAGAGGATCCACCACAGACAGAGTTGGGAGCAGAACAGGCAGATTGACTGAAATACACAACTGAGGGGAGCAGCGGGAGAGACAGGAGAGGTCTGCCTCGCCATGTGGGTTTTTCCCTGGACTGGGACTTAACTCCTGCTGCAGAGGCTGCAAATTGCTTCATAATGCAGTGCTCATCCCCTTGCACCACCAGGCAGGCCCTCTTTTTTTTTTTTTTTTTTTTAAGATTTATTTAATTCATGCATACAAGAACCTTGGTACAGGCCAGATGCACTGATGGGTGAGAGGATTCACCAGAGACAAAGCAGGAAACAGAACAGGCAGACTGACTGAGATACACTGCTGAGAGGAGCAGCAGGCAAGACAAGAGAGGTCTGCCACGCCATGTGGGGATCTCCGTGACCAGCCAGGATCGAACCTTCACTGCAGAGCCTGCGGACAGTTTCACAGTGCTGTGCTCAACCGCCTGAGCCATCAGAGGAGGCCCTAAGGTTTTTTCATTATGAGGGCTCACTTGGGTAATAATACTGCCACTGAAACCCAAACAATGTCTAAAGAAATCATGGGGGAAGGCCTCCCTGGTGGCACAAGGGGCTAAGTCTCAGCACTATCAAGCAATCAGCAGCCACTGCAGCATGAGTTCCATGCCCAGCCAACCCACATGGCACAGCAGACCTCTCCTGTCTACTACTCTCAGCAGTGTACATCAGTCAATCCACCTCTTCTGCTCCCCACACTGTGTCTAGTGAAGCCTCTCACCCCCTGCACCTCTAGCTTATACCCCCATTCTTGTATGCATAAATAAATAAAAATAAATCTTTAAAAACAAAAAGAAATCAAGGGGGAAACATTATCATATATATGAAATGTAATAATAAGATACTAAATCAAGCATTAATTCAAAGGAGTGTTGGTCAAAAAACCTATCTCCTGGGGCCTCCCTCCTGGTGCAAGGGGTTAAGCATCAGCACTATGAAGCTATCCGCAGCTACTACTGCATAAGTTCCATCCCTGGCCAGGGAGGTGACCCACATGGCCCAGCAGACCTCTCCTGTCTCACCCAATGCTCCCCTTAGCAGTGTATTCAGTCAGTCCACCTGTTCTGTTCCCCACTCTGTCTCTGGTGAATCCTCTCACCTCCCCCCCACACACACCTCTGGCCTACACCCCACTTCTTGTATTTTGTCCAGATTTGTTCAGAACATCCCTGAGTGTGCTGTCCACCTTTAGGTTTTATGGCAGGAAAGAGAGGACAGCAAAGGGGCAGGCAAAGAGCGCCACAGTAGTGACGGTTACACAGAGGTGGAATCAGTCCCCAAGGCAGACTAGACCGCTCCCTTCCTTTCCCCTGCTCTTATACCCCAACAGTGAGGGCTCTGTGAGGAGGCTCTGGCTCCCCTTACTGCCCTCTGAACCCATGTCCACTAAGGTAGGGAGAGGTGACTATAGGCACACTTTTTGTTTTTTTTTAAAGATTTATTTATTTATTTATACAAGAACCAGGGTACAGGCCAGATGCGTGGGAGGCTGAGAGGATTCACCAGAGACAGAGCCGGGAACAGAACAGGCAGACTGACGAAATACACTGCTGAGGGGAGAAGCAGGCAAGACAGGGGAGGTCTGCCGCACCAGGTGGCACCATGTGGGACCTCCCAGGCCAGCCAGGATCAAACTGGTGCTGCAGAGGCTGGGGACAGCTTCACAGAGCAGAGCTCAACCGCCTGCGCCACCAGGGGAGGCCCTAGGCACACTTTTTTTTAAAAAAAAGATGTATTTTATTTATTTATGCATGCAAGAGCTGGGATGTAGGTCAGAGGTGCGGGGAGGGGGAGGGGTTGGGAGGGTTGGGGGTCAGGGGTGTGTGTGTGTGAGAGGGTTCACCAGAGATACAGTAGGGAGCAGAACAGGCAAATCTACAGAAACACACTGCTGAGGGGAGCAGTGGGCAAGACAGGAGAGATCTGCTGTGTCATGTGGGTTATCTCCCTGACAGGGAATCTAACTGATGTTGTAGAGGCGGATGATAGCTTGATAGTACTGAGACTTTAACCTCTGAGCCACCAGGGAGGCTCAAATTAGTAAAGATTTTTAAAAGTTCTCTGAAGAGGAAATGCAAATGACCAACAGGCATATGAAAAAATGTTCAACATCACTTGTAATCAGGGAAATGCAAATCAAAACTACCATGAGATACCATCTTACACCAGTGAGAATGGCACATATTAAAAAAACTAGCAACAACAAATGTTGGCGAGGGTGTGGAGAAAAAGGAACTCTTCTGCACTGTTGGTGGGAGTGCAAACTGGTCCAACCACTATGGAGAGCTGTGTGGAGATTTCTGGACTTACTAAACATAGAGCTTCCATATGATCCAGCAATTCCACTCCTAGGTATTTACCCAAAGGACACAGAAACATCCATTCCAAAGAACACCTGCACCCCTATGTTTATAGCAGCACTGTTTACAATAGCTAAGCTTTGGAAACAACCCAAATGCCCAAAAATAGATGACTGGATCAAGAAGATGTGGTACATATACACCATGGAATATTACTCAGCATTCAAGAAAGATAAACACATGCAATTTGCAGCAAC